GGGCTAAAAATAAAATGTAGTAGTTTAGTGTACTATAAAGAATATGTTTGCAATAAATTAGTGGAGACCAGTGTTAAGTTCTGAAATACTAAAATTTTTAAAGAGCCCTGGCCAGTTTGGCTCAGCGGTTAGAGTGTCGGCCTGCGGTCTGGAGAGACCTGGGTTCAGTTCCCGCTAAGGGCATGTACTTTGGTTGCAGTTTGTCCCCGGCCCTGGTTGGTCGTGCGGGTGGCAGCCACTTGATGTGTCCCTTCACGTCGATGTTTCTGTCTGTCTCTCCCTTCCTCTCTCTCCCTCCCACTCTATCTGTACAAAAAATGGAAAAATATCCTCGGGTGAGGATAAAAAAAAAAAAGCACAAATAAAATTTTTAAAGAAAGTATAGACTGCTTCAGCGGTCTTTACCTCATTTTTTACTTTTTCCTCCTCCGATAGTGTTAAAACTCCATCACTAATCATGTGGTCCATTACGTAGGATGTTTTGATGTCCTTTTCCAAGGCTTCTCTGTGTTGAAGCAAATAATTTCGAGCTTTTGCATCCATTCTTCCTTATTTTTTTCTCTTTCTGAGCTGTTAACCATGAGCTATAGGGAAACATCAAAATATATGTCAGGCCAACAAAGATATGAAAGATGTGTAATCAAGAAAGTAAAGGCTGCCCTCTCCTCTGCGTAGGATGGGACGGTTGCCGAGCGGCTAATAAAGCTCTCTTAATTTGAACCCAAAGAAGAAATGTAAAGAAAATAAGATTTTATATTTTGTGAAGATTTTTTTTAATGGACAAAACCCAATGGTTTCAAAGGTGTGAGGAAATGGTTCTTTTTCCCTTTTTTTTTAATCCTCACCCAAGGACACTTTTTCCATTTTTTTTGTTCAGACAGAGTGGGAGGGAGAGAGAGGAAGAGAGAGAGAGAGAAACATCGATGTGAAACGGACCACAGGCCGACACTCTAAACGCTGAGCCAAACTAGCCAGGGAGGAAATGGTATTCTTATACAATATTTGAGGTGAGTACAAAATGGATGCAACTCTTCTGGAAGGTAATATAGCATACAAAAGTGTTTAAAATAAGCATTCTCTTTAACCCAGAAATGTCACTTCTAGGAATTTACTCCAAGGAGATATTCGCATGTGTATGCAAAAATATCCACAAAAACAGTTAACAGAGAGTACTTAGGTGAGAAAGAAAAGAGGAAAATAATCAAATCACCCACCATTCTGAGAATGGCTTTAAAAAGTTAGGTATGGCCCTGGTCGGTTTGGCTCAGCAGTTAGAGCGTCGGCCTGCGTCCGGAGAGACCCGGGTTCGGTTCCCGCTAAGGGTATGTACCTCGGTTGCAGTTTGTCCCCAGCCCTGGTAGGGTCGTGTGGGTGGCAACCACTCTATGTGTCCATTTCACGTCGATGTTTCTCTCTCTCTCTCTCCCTCCCACTCTATCTGAACAAAATATTGAAAAATGTCCTTGGGTGAGGATAAAAAATAAAAAAAAAAAAAGTTAGATATGTATATAAGCTGGAACATTATACACCCATTTAAAATAAAACACATCTCCATGTATTGGCATGGCAAGATGCTAATTACACATTGATTGAAAAAATTAGAAATATGATCCCATATCCAGCACAAAATATGTGTTGACATCGTGAACAAACTTTTAAAAGTTTGTTCAACAAAATGTTTGGGTTACTCCTAAGAAGCAAGACTTTTGGAGTTTTTTCTCCCATCTTTTTTTGTACTGTCCTATATTGTCTTAATCTTTTTCAATACATATCACTTTTACAATTAAAAATTTCCTTTATAAATTAAGATTTTATATCATACTGAAGTCCTCATGTTTAAAACTTATTTTCTTTATTCAACATAAAAGATCAAATAGAGCCCTGGCCGGTTTGGCTCAGCGGTTAGAGCATCAGCCTGCGGTCCGGAGAGACCTGGGTTCGGTTCCCGCTAAGGGCACGTACTTCGGTTGCAGTTTGTCCCCGGCCCTGGTTGGTCGTGCAGGTGGCAGCCACTCGATGTGTCCCTTCACGTCGATGTTTCTCTCTCTCTCTCCCTTCCTCTCTCTCCCTCCCTCTCTATCTGTATAAAAAATGGAAAAATATCCTCGGGTGAGGATAAAAAAAAATAATAATAAAAAAAAAAAAGATCAAATAGAATATTGTTGGTATTGCATGTTAGTTCTTGCTCAAGGTGTGTGTCAGCTCTACGTCTTCCGTGGTAAACACATTTCTCATATGCTCACTCCACTGTTTCAGCTGAGCTGCTAACAAAGCAACAGGAAATACTCTCTGATGTCATTTCTTGGGTTAAGAGACCACAAAGAAAGAATCATCTTCTTTACAGTATAATACTCTTAAGTTTCTACTGACTTTATTTCAAATATTTTAATACAAATTTTTCCATGGGTATAGAACCCAGATCAGAATGTGTGCAAGTTTTTTTTGTTGTTTTTTTAATCTTCACCTGAGGATATTTTTCAATTTATCTTCAGAAAGAGTAGGGGTTGGGGGGAGAGGTGTGAGAGAGACACACTGACTGGTTGCCTTCCACTCAACCCCAACCAGGGCCGTGTACGGAACCACAACCAAGGTGCATGCCCTTGACCAGAATCGAACCTGTGATTCTTTGGTCCACAGGCAGAAGCTCTAACCACTGAGCCAAACAGGCGGAGGCTGTATGCAAGTTTTTAAAACAGAAACAGAATTCCATCCAATGCATTACAATGAGTGTCTAAATGTGTGTATTAGTTTATTCACTCAATAAATATTTGAGCCTCTCCTATGTGCCAAGCCCTGCTACAGAGAAGATTAAATCATACCCCTGATGAAATTCACAACCTAGTGGGAAAGAAAAATAAAGAGATAATTAGAATGCAATGTCTAAGTGCAAAAACAGAAATAAGCCCAAGTGATTTAAATAGCACAGAAAAAGAGCAATAATCATTAAGCTTCAATAATGACTATATGTTTTTTGAGTGCCAAAGTGGCACTTCACACGGCTGGTGTGCTTCACTGGTTGAGAGTCGACCCATGCACCAAGAGATCGCCGGTTCAATTCCCGTGGTCAGGGCACATGCCCAGGTTGTGGGCCAAACCCCCAGTGGGCAACATGCAGGAGGAGGCCAATCAATGTTCTCTCTCTCTCATTGATGTTTCTATCTCTCTCTCCTTCTTCCTCTAAAATCAATAAAGAAAAATATTTTTAAAAATAAATAAAGGTGGCACTTGCAAACAAAGGGAAGTAGAGTATTTGCCTATGCTTGTCAAGGTTCATAAAACACACAGGCCTGGAATTAAAATGATAAAAGGAAATGTTATGATTAGAATCACTGCTATCCAATTTTTAAGATGTTAATGACGTTTTTATTATCTCAATTTAAACGTAAAAGATCCCTTAATTTTAACTAATAAAAAATTTTTGACAAAATAAAAATGAATTTTTTAAGTTATGTCCAATTGCCTAGCAAATAGACACTATGACAATCTGAAACTAATTTCCAACTTTACCTAGCCCTATTAAAAAACATGTAAATGTTTCCCTGGCTGGTTTGGCTCAGCGGTTAGAGGTTGGCGGAGGTCGGAGTTTGATTCCCTGTCAAGGGCACCTACCTGGGTTGCAGGATCCCCCCCAGACCATGATGTCCTGCAGGAGGTAACCAGTCCGTCACATCGATGTTTCTCTCCCTCTCCCCCTCTCTCTCTCTCTCCCTCCCTTCCTTCCACTCTGTCTAAAAATCAATATCCTCGGTGAGGAGTAACAAAAATAAAAATACGTGAACTTTCAAGTGCACAAATTTAAATAACCCGGAACAAACTCTCAGGGTTCCAGCTTTTGCAGCCACATCAAAATGAAAAGCAAAAGTCTTCTTAGATGTAAACTCTATTTTTCTTTCTAAAGAAGAGCAATAAGGTCCAGCAAAACCGTTAATAGTTGAGCACTTCCTCTTTAGATCATTTCTCTTCCTGGTAAGGAAGTACCTTGTCCCAGAATGCCGATCCCTGAAATCGGTACTGAACCTCCAAAGAATCGGCGCGGGGAGAAAAGCCAGGTGCCAACTTACCCCAAACCTTCGCACCGAGATCTCACCGGAAAGACCAGCCCTGCGGGGTCAGACTTGGAAACCAAATTTGGGAGGGGAGGGAAGAGGGACTTAAAGGGAAGGCAGGGCTCGGGGCTGCGCCCCCGGTAAGTCCGGGTCTCCCAGGTGCCTCGACTGGGCTCCCGCCACCTGCAGACGCCCAGGGACCTCCGACCGGCCGGGAGGGAGGCGTCACGTCTGCGGGCCGACAGCACAGTGCCGAGGGGAGGCCTGGCGCGAGACCCGCCCTGGAAGTGGACCCCACCACATACACAAAGAAAGAAGAGCCAGTCCGACTGTCGCTCCTTCCCTCAGGCCGCAGCGGCACCCTGGGGGCCCGGTGCCACTCGGGACGCTGCCGTGGCTACTTCAAGTCCTCCCGGGGAGCTGGCGGCCCAGACCCCTCCCTCACCTTCGGCTCCCTCAGCCGTTCTGCCCAGGAATAAAGCATCCGCATCCACTGGACACCGCCCCTTCTTTGCCTTTGGACCGCGGAGCAGTCAAAACCCGCGGAGCCCGCCCAGTCGACGGCGCGCCCGGGCATGCGGATAAACACAGCCGGAGCCCCACTCTGGGTGGCCGCCGCCGCGCGCGCTCCGCCCCGGCTTGTGCCGGCGCGCGCATAAGGAAGCAGCTCGCGCTCGACCCGGCAGCGGGGGCGTGGCTAAGCCACCGGGGGCGCGCCGCGCGCCCGTGGGGGGAGGGCCCGGGCGGCGGCGTGCTGGACGTGGCGCGCGCTGCCCCGCCCCGCCCCGCCCCGGCTGCCCCGCCCCGCCCCCGGCTGCCCTGCCCCGCCCCGGCCCCGGCTGCCCCGCCCCGCCCCCGGCTGCCCCGCCCCGCCCCACCCCTGGAGTCTCCGCGGCCCGCCAGCGCCCGGCACGTACGGTTTCTTCGGGTTTGCCGCATTAACGCAGAGGCAAGGAGTGGTGTGGTCGCCGCCTGTCTCAGCAGGAGGAAGTAGGAGTCGGGAGGATACCGCGAAGCTGCGAGGATGGCCGGGAGAGGGAGGGGCCTGGCTTCTGGGCGGTGCCAAGTCTGGGCGGGGGCGCGGTCACCGCTGAGGCTGCCAGCGCAGGCCAAGGCGGCCACGTCCTGCTCCCCCAGGGTGTAGGGGCCGCCCCGGGTTTGCTGTCCTCAGGACCTCCAGACATGTCCGAGGTGAAGAACCGGAAGAAGTCGGGGCCCAAGGGGAACCCCGCAGATCCCGGGAAGCGGAATGAGGGCGGGAAGAGCCCCGCCGCCCGGGACGGTGGAGGCGGGGGCTGGGTGGACCCTCGGACCGGCGTGAGCCTGCTGTCGCTGGGGTTGTGCCTGGGCCTGGCCTGGTAAGTGGACGCGAGGCCGCCCGGACCCGGAGTCCGGCCTCCCGTGGTCGCCCCGCCGTCGTCGGGGTCCCGCCCCGGCCTCACCCAGCTCGACATCCACTAATCAACCCCCCAGATTTGCAGCTTCTGCTCCTCTGCCTCGACCTCCGAGAAGAGACAGCCCAACTTATTTTTCTCTTTCGCTCTTTTCTTGTAAATCATTTTAACTTCGCACTACTATCATGTCCGGATCGCTCAGCTGGAGTTGAGGCTGAGGTTTGGGACCAGTCAGCCATTTAAGAGGTACAGATTCGGCCCACTTATTAAGTGCCTGCTACTCGTCAGCTTTCCGTTACTTCCAGGCCGCTGTGCTCTTGACCGAGACAGACTGCCTAATGGCAACGTTTGCAACCTTAAAAGAATTCATTATGATCGCAAAGCAAAAAAAACATTAATGATTATATCAAAGTTTGGAGGACTTCTCATGTTTTAATCCATGTGCATTCGTTATGAATTTAACGTCTATTCCTAAGCTACAGATTGAATTTTAGTACTGGAAAACTGCAAAAGTATAGCACCTGTGACAAGACTGATGCTTTCAATGAGACTTTCCCTCCATTTTTTTACTGATTTTCTAAAGTATCATTTAGAAGATAGTTATTCATCTTTAAAAAGAATCGAATTCTGGAAGGGGCCCTGGACATTCTCCAGTCTAGAACATTTTTTATGCTAGTAAATTTTGAGTTATACTTTAGTGGTGACTCATCCTGAGTTGAACTTAATAAAAGATTTGTTACAATAATGTGAAATGTTGATTATTAAATGTTCTCTTCAAAAAAATATATTGTTGCCCTGGCCAGTTTGGCTCAGCGGTTAGAGCGTCGGCCTGCGGTCCAGAGAGACCCGGGTTCGGTTCCCGCTAAGGGCACGTACTTCGGTTGCAGTTTGTCCCCGGCCCTGGTTGGTCGTGCGGGTGGCAGCCACTCGATGTGTCCCTTTCACATCGATGTTTCCCTCTCTCTCCCTTCCTCTCTCTCCCTCCCACTCTATCTGTAAAAAAAAATGGAAAAATATCCTCGGGTGAGGATAAAAAAAAAAAAAAAAAGTTGCTTAAGAACTTCTTTATATTTAATTATAAAAAATATATATATATATATATATTGTTGCCCTGGCCGGTTTGGCTCACCAGTTAGAGCATCTGCCTGCGGAAAAAGAGTTTCGGGTTCCATTCCAGTCAAGGGCATGTACCTTGGTTCTGTCCCCTGCCCTGGTTGTGGTTGTGCGGAAGGCAACCAATCCATGTGTCTCTCTTACATCAGTGTTTCTCTCCCTCCCTCTCTCTCCCTCTCACCCTCTCTTCTCTCCTCTCCTCCATCCCTCCCTCCCACTCTATCTGATGATAAATGGAAAAATATCCTCAGGTGAGGATTTAAAAAAAAAAGATAAGAAATAGAGCATTAAACCTATTTTTATATATATTGTTATTTTACTAACGTGTTATTTTTTATTTATGGAATATTTTTATTTTGACCTTAAAAGAATAAATGTACCAAATTTACTGTTTTGAAAAACTCTTATATCTTAAAATGCATGACCTTCAGGTAAGTTAAATCCTTTTTGTATTGGGAAAGTTATTCAGTAATAAAACTTAGTTTGCTCAAGATATATTTTGCTTTTCTCTGAAACCTAATACAACTGGTTTTACTTCCTGAATTTATTAATTCTCATTAATTATCCAAAGATGCATATTCATGTGAGTTAAATTGTATCACATAATGTTCAGCTTTTCAGAAATTTAGTTACTGTCCTGGGAAAAAACACTAATAGTAATATGTCACCAGAAGATGTCCATAACTAGAGAATTTTTATTAATAGTTTGAGCCAAAACTGATGGCAGTTCCTGGGAATCAAGATCTAAAATGCTTCAGACAATAACAGTTTTGCAATTTCTTTTATGCATTTGAAATTAGGGAGAGAAATTGAGGAAGAATGCATAAAGGTGGGGATTTGATTACAGGATAGTTAAGATTAATTCTCTTAAGGGTGCCATTTATTTCAAAGGTGTGCTAACCTAGATGCACAGAAACAATGGACAAGGCTTGCTTAAGGCAAAGATAAAACCTTTTAATAAAAAAGTTGTATGCCTGAGATATAGCTACCCATCATGATCTGCCCAGTTAGGAATGTATGATCATCATCCTATGAGGTTACTTTCTACAGGACCCCTTTTTTGTCCACAAATCTATAAAGGAAAACACTGTTGAAAAGCAGACCCTTCAGCTCAGGAATTTACTGTTAGTGCCTGCGGGAAAGACAGACAAGGTACCTTCAGTAGAAAGATTTTATTTGAACTGTGTCTTTGCAAAATGATAAAACAGTGCTCAAAGATTTTTTCTAAAATGGGCAGATTCTATTCTTGTTATTAAAATAATTGACTGTTAATTGCTCTTGTGAAATCTTTTGCCACAAGAGTTGAAGAATAAATACTTCGGTAACTGTTTATATTTATTCATGGTAAATTTGGGAATAAAAAATTATTCTGGTAAGACATTTACAAGCATTTTTTCAAATAAAAACATTTGGCGCCCAGCTGGTGTGGCTCAGTGGTTGAGTGTCAACCCATGCACCAGGAGGTCGTCAGTTTGATTCCTGGTCAGGACACATGCCCAGGTTGTGGGCCCAATCCTCAGTGGGGGCCATGCAGGAGGCAGCCAATCGATGTGTCCCTTTCACATCGATGTTTCTCTCTCTCTCTTCCTCTCTCTCCCTCCCACTCTATCTGAACAAAAATGGAAAAATGTCCTTGGGTGAGGATAAAAAACAGAAGTTCCATTGTAAAAAATGTGAATTTCTTCTGGAAGTTCAACAAGTTTTTTCATCACATTTGTGATAATCATGTATAAGAAGTCAGTAGCTCTTTAAATAGTCAGATGACAGTTTTTTTCTGTATCATCTAACACACTATAAATCATTTATACAGCAAAATTGTGGCTAACCTCATTTTTCAGCTTTTAGTTGTTAATGGAGTTTTATCTAAAAGATAGAGTTATTCTTTAAATGTCTTGCTTTTTTGTTGTTGTTGTTTAATTCTCACCTGAGAATATGTTTACTGACTTAGAGAGGAAGGGAAGAAGAGAGAGAAACATCAATCAGTTGCCTCCTATACGTGCCCCAACTGGGGGTGGAACCCACAACCTACATATGTGTCATGACTGGGAATCGAACCCATGACCTTTCAGAGTAGGGGATGACACTCCAACCAACTGAGCCACACCGGCCAGTGCTAAATGTCCTGCTTTTTAAAAATGGAATATAGTCAGTGTTTTTCTGAACGTTCGGTTTTATGCTAACGATGAGGCTGTAATATGAAACAGGGCTAAGGAGGTACTGACTATAGCAGTGGCCCTGGAACTTCCTTTCTTGCTGAAGGTCCATAATAACAGCTGCCTTTGCTTATTTGCCTCTTTCTCATTAAGTTGAAACAAAGCCAGAGAAACTCCTATAATTTATTAGTCCTGAGTCAGCTGTCTGTCACCATGGAAGATTCCTAAAGGAGCTGTACAGAGGCAACACTCCAAGGAAATGCAGCTTAATACTACTGGGCCCTGCATCTGTATGGAGTCTCAACAGACTGCAATGGATTATAGAGTCAAAAAAATTCCTTTTGTAAACCCTACTATGTATGGTAGCCAATTAACCTGGGTCCTTTTCTCCTATATTTCTAAGCCTTCAAGACCTTTATCTATATATGATAATGAGAAGAAGGCCCAAAACAGAATAAGAGAGTGGTTCTCTTTCCTCCTAGTAGTCTCATCCATTCATTGCATCCTTCATTTGCTATAAACCCAACCCTGGTTTCAAAGGGGGACAGGCCTGGGTTTCTAGCAACCCTGTAGGCTTGTCAGGATGGCAAAGCAGTGCAAAAGAAACGGTGAGGGTGCTTAGAACAGCTGAGGTGTTAGCTCTAGGCACTGTCTAGGAGCTTTGTAAATAAGAACCTATTTAATCTGTACAGCAACCCTATGAATTCAACAGTGGTATCCCCCCTTGACAGATGAGGAAACCAGCAAAGATAAGTGAAATAACTTACCCAAGGTGATTACACGACCAGTAAATGGTAGAGCCAAAGTTACCCAGGCTCCACACTCAACCAGTGTTATATGCTGCCTCCCCCTTGATACTAATCCAAAAAGAGGAAAGACCCTAGAGATAGAATTCCTTGCTCCAGAACTATTTATAGTTCTTTTTTCAATTACAAGCTGTAGCTCTTAGGAGACGCTCATTGTTTGTCTCATCCAAACCAGGGAAGATGGTCGTAAAGAGGCTGAACCGCTCCTGGTGAAATATGGCTCTGACACATAGTGAGGAAACGAAGCACCTTGGGCACTAATCTGGATACTTGTTTTAAAAACTAGTTTTTCAGAATTAAAGCCACTTTCTCTCAGCATGCGTTTTTGGCTTCTAGGAAATCGTCTTCTTTAATGTTAAAGAGTTAATATTTACCAAACACTTAAAATAGTGTCTGGAACATCTAAGTGAAAAATACTCAGCAGCGTACAAACCACTTTTCATTTTTTATTACTAGCAATAAGTCAACTTTATGCTTATTTTTTCTTACATGTGCTACTTATATGTAGCAATGGTGAACCTTTTTTTAAAAGTTGTTTTTTTTACTGATTTTAGAGAGAAACATCCATAAGAGAGAAGCATTAACATTTATTGGCTGCCTCCTGCTGGAGACCAAGCCTGCAATCTCCGGCATGTGCCCTGACTGGGAATCAAACTGGTGACCTCTTGGTGCATGGGTCGGTGCTCAACCACTGAGTCACACCAGCTGGCCAGAATCTTTTTTTTTTTTTATTTTGGTGAGAAGCTAACCATGAAAAAAACCTACAAATTATCATCAGAGATATTTCCACTAACATAACAATTTTCTTCAAGCCTTTGCTTTTTGTTTTCTTTTTTTTGTCAAAATTATTTAAAAAGATGTCACCCTTTTTTTCTCATTGACCCCCCCTTCCACTCCCACCCATCTCCTACTTTCCCCAGCCTAATGTCTGTGTCAGTTGGTTGTGCATGTATGCATATAAGTTCTTTGGTTTATCTCTTCCCACCCTCTATCCCTATGAGGTTTGTCAGTCTGTTCCCTACTTCCATGATTCTGAATCTCTTTTGGTCAACAGCTTATTTTGTTCATTATATTCCACAAGTAAGTGAGATTGTATGGTACTTGTCTTTCTCTGACTGGCTTATTTTGCTTAACATAATAGTCTCCAGGTCCCTCCATATCGTCTCAAAGGGTAAGAGATCTCTCTTTCTTACAGCTGCATAGTATTCCATTGTGTAAATGTACCACAACTTTTTTATCCACTCATCCTCTGATGGGCATTTGGGCTGTTTCCAGATCTTAGCAATTGTAAATAGCACTGCTATGAACATAGTGGTGCATATATTCTTCCTGATTAGTGTTTCAGGTTTCTAAGGATATAGTCCAAGAAGCAGGATCACTGGGTCAAATGGCAGATCCATTTTTAATTTTTTGAGGAAACACCATAGTGTTTTCCATAGTGGCTGCACCAGTCTGCATTCCCACTAGCAGTGTACTGGAGTCCCCTTTTCTCCACATCCTCGCCAGCATTTGTTGTTTGAGGAAGCCTTTGCTTAATATTGAAGAGAAGTGCAGAGATAAACAACATTAAAAATATTTAATAAGCCCGGCCGGTGTGGCTCAGTGGTTGAGTGTCAGCCCATGCACCAAGAGGTCGCTGGTTCGATTTCCAGTCAGGGCACATGCCCAGGTTGTGAGGCAAATCCCCAGTGGGGGGCATGCAGGAGGCAGATGATGGATGTTCTCTGTCATTGATGTTTCTATCTCTCTCTCCCCCTTCCTCTCTAAAAATCAAAGAAAAAAAATTTTTTAATTTTAATAAAATGGGAAGTCTTAATGTGTTATTATAGTGCATCAACCTTCACAAAACGTCTTTTTTTGTCATGATTTTATTCTGAATAAACACACTGGTATATAGGATAAATCTATGAAGTGGTGATTCAGTTGTAATAAACTCAGTTGTGAATAACTGGACAGGGAGAGAATAAATGCATGCCCAGTAAAGTCTGGATGACGTAGGAAATGTACTTGTCTGTCAGTCACACCTGGGAACAGGTCATTGGCCAGGATGGGCGTGGCCACTGCAAGGGCTCAATATCTGAGATACTTAAGCTCTGAAACAAAGGAGTTCTCTCTGACTCTCTTGGCCTCTTGCACTCTTCAGACTCTTGTTGCAGGGGGCATGCTCTCACGCTCTGCCCACATGGCCCACAGCCATGTGGACCCCACACAATGGACTGATGGACTGTAACTAGCCTAATGCTACACCAGACCCAGCTCCACCATGGAATGGAAACTCTGGATACTGGCTTTGCTTTTAGCTCTGCTGAATCCCCAGCTGCATATCTTCCAGGACTAGATTAAGGGAAATAGGACTTTAGAAATGCAGACATGAAATTCCATGCAAATAAAAATCACTCGTCCTCCTGCGTGAGTCTTAGAAAATTCTTTTCTCAAGATATTGTAAGGACCCGACTCCCAGCACTCAATGGGTAAAGGGATCCCACACTTGTACCATCAGATACCTCACTTTCTCTGATAACAGAAACACTATGGAGTAATAAATGATAAAACTAGTCCCTGAAGTTAGACTTATTTCTTTAGAATGGTCTCTATCCTTGGGCTCTGTCTGCCGACCTCAGATAGACCTGTACTGTGAAAAGAAACTAAAAAGACAAGAACGAAACAGCCAATCAAGAGAAAATTAAGGCTTGATCCCCAGTAGGGGGCATGCAGGAAGCAACCAATCAATGTTTCTCTCATCCACTTTTCTCTCCCTGCCCCTTCTTCTCTCTCTAAAATCAATAAAAACATGTTGTTGTTGTTTTTAAAAAAGAGAATGAAGTCTACATATCCACAATGGCATTTTCTAATAACCAGAAGTTTTGTTTTAAAGTTCCTATTAGCACACAGGAGAAAATCAATCTGTATAAATTATTTAACCTGGGCTTCGTTCAGTGTTATAGGCTAAATGGGAGCCACCACTAAAAGTATTGTTAACATTTGTTTCAAAAGCAAAAAATCCATTTTAGCCTTGAATAGTTTTATGGAAACAGCGTAATGATGACATTCATGAGTTTGAAATATCACCACCTTTGCAATTTTGCACAAAACTCATCTTTCACCCCTCCATTGAATTTTGGGATCTTTAAATGTTGGTCTTTGGAAGACAGTTTCACAAAACAGTGTCAATTAGTGGTTTTTACTTTGCTGAGCACTGAGATAACCTGGGGAGCTCTTAAATTTAACAATATCCAAGTCATGTGCCCCACCAAGTAAATCAGAATTTCTGTGGGTGAAACCCAGGCATCAGACTTTTTAAAACTGCCAGGTGACTCCAATATGCAGCAAAGCTTTTGAACCATTGGTCTGTATACTCTGACTTAAACACTGGCCTCACAGATTCTGGTCCACTGCTGTTTTTGCTTTTTATTCACCCTCACCTGAGGATATGTTTTTGTTAATTTTCGAGAGAGAGAAAGGAAGGGGAAGAGCGAGAGAAACGTCGATGTGAAAAAGAAACATTGGTTGGTTACCTCCCATATGTGCCCCAATAAGGAATCGAACCTGCAACCTAGGTATGTACCCTGACCAGGAATGGAACCCCCAACCTTTTGGTGTATGGGACAACGCTCCAACGAGGGAGCCACCCTGCCAGGGCTCCACTGCTTTTTGATGACTCGAACACACAAAAAATTTAAATTGCTGTTCTTTCTGATCCCCCCAAATTGAGTCAAAGTAGATGAACCAAAATAGTACTAGATTCTTTTTTTCTATCCTCACCTGAGGACATTTTTGCGTTTATCTTCAGATACAACGAGAGGGAGAGGGGGGAAGAGAGAGAGAGAAACTTCGATGCGAGAGAGACACATGGAGTGACAAACTACAACCGAGGTATATGCCCTTAGCGGGAACCAAACCCGGGACTCTCCGATCCATAAGCCGACGCTCTAACCACTGAACCAAACGGCCAGGGCCAAAATAGTACTAGATTCTAAGCATTTCTTTTGTGCTTGCTTTTTTTCAAGTTCTAAACCCACAGTAGTCCATTTATTGTTTTTAAGACTGGGATAACTTTTTATACGTCTAGCCTGTACTATCTACCAGATGACAAACATACTCCAATTTTAGAAGGACATCTAAAGTACACCTATATGACTTGTATTGTTTACTCTAAACAGTTGTACATATTATACACCTTGCACCGCATATGTATTTTATTATCACTTTGACAGCAATTCCTGTTCAACAGTTTGAGTCTGGTTATTTTGCAACTTCTAATCACCATCACATCCTCTTCCTTCCATTCCACTGTTTTTTTCCTCTTCTCCTGTATTTTAATTTAAAAATACTTTTTTTCCTACATAGGTAAAATAGTAGAGATCACATTTTTTTCTAAGTAATTCATTTCTTCTTGCTCCAAAACATTTCTTCTGCATACATCTATTACAGCTATCCCACCATCTCGTCACTGAGTTGTGAACTTGAACAGGGGCAGAGTTTCACTCATCTTTGTGTGAGCAGTACCATTAAACCACTACCTACCACATATCAGGCTCTCTAAATTGTATTGAAATAAACTAATAAAAGCTGCCACTACCCATACCAGAATTTATGTTGTCATTATCAGAAGTGGGTATAAAATACCCCTTTAAAATTCAGACTGAAATAGATATGAATTAGGTGGTAGTGATTTTTTTTTTCTTTTTCAGGTTTGTATTTCAGCAATCAGAAAAGTTTGCAAAGGTGGAAAATCAATACCAGTTACTGAAAATAGAAACCAACGAATTCCAAGGGCTTCAAAGTAAAATCAGTTTAATTTCAGAAAAGGTAATTATTAATTTGGAAAGAATTTCCCATTTTTCTTCCCCACTATCACCATTCTACCCCAGTTCACAAATTTTTTTTTCCTACTTTTTAGACAATACTATTTTAACTCTCATAGGTCTCCCTACCTCTCTACATTCTCCCTTCAATCCAATTTAGACTTAAATTATATTTTGAAAGGGCAAGAATTTTTTAAATATAATTGTTATTGTTTGAAAAGACCAATATGCTCATATTGAAGTGACCTCAATTTTTAAATATCAAGTGTTTAGAGCACTGAAAATATGATTGATCTTTAGATATAAAATTAGGATAGGAAAAGCGTTTGTTGGGCAAAGATTCATCAGTGTTTTTTTCTTTATTTTCTGCTTGGTAAGCATATATACATGTGCACATAAGACTGAATAACCTAAAAATAAATCTTGGTTTGTATTTGTAGCCAAATGAAAATTAAAATCCATGTATTTGTTGTGTTTTTTCAAGCTGCAAATGCAGATGTATTATTTCTGTGATTCTTAAAAATGTGAGACAGATATAAAATTTTTAACTACCATAATTCTTAGGAGAGGGTCTGCTGTAATCATTAAAGCATCTGTGGGCCGTACCTGGCTATTAGGGACTGAGGTATCATTGGGAAACATGTCTTGTTTGTCCATTTACTCATGCACTAGATGTTTACTCATGTCATAAGGTAGACAGGACTTGTGCTTGGTACCAGGGTGAGCAAGGATGTTATAAAAATAAGCAGAAAAGAAATAGAGGATCTAAGTTCCTGCAGCCTCGTGCACAGGGTGAGCATATATTCCCTCAGAAGATAAAAGCTGTGGATAAAATTATGCACCCCCTCAACATGACAGGGTTGAATGTGAGCTTAGGGGCCTCTGGGAAGGAGCAGCAAGAATTGGTACAGTATTTTGACGTAGGGCTCAAGTTGGAATCTGGTTATAATTGTTGGGGGCCCTCTTGTCAGAGGGAACATGATAGGGAAAATTCCAAGAGACAGAAACGTCATGTGCTTAAAAGCGATCAAAAACAAATTTTGAAGGAAGATTTTTTTTTTTTATCCTCACCCAAGGACATTTTTCCATTTTTTGTTCAGCTAGAGTGGGAGGGAGAGAGAGAGAGAGAGAAACATCGACGTGAAAGGGACACATGGAGTGGCTGCTTCCCGCACGACCCAACCAGGGTCGGGGACAAACTGCAACCGAGGTACGTGCCCTTAGCGGGAAACGAACCCAGGTCTCTCTGGACCACAGGCCAACGCTCTAACCACTGAGCCAAACCAGCCAGGACAAAGATTTCCTTTTTAAATGAAAATTTTGGTAGCAATTAAAGTGCTTTCTAAAGCAGATTTTTAAAATATTATCATAGGATCCAAAATATATTCAGTTTTTGCACAGCTCTTTCTCTCCCAGTCTGCCCTAGGAGTAGTTTACGGATAGCTGCCCTTTCACAGAGCTGACCCTAATGGGCAGCATAATGCAGCAGGAGAGGAATTAGCTAGACGGGCTCCCGTCACTGCTACGTAACCTTGGGAAGGAATCACTTTAACCTCTTGACCCCCATTTCCTCATTTATTATATGAGAATAACAAAATTTTTATAAGGATCAGATGAGATACAGTATATATGTAAACTCTTTGAAAGCTTTTAAGCAGTAATCTAATTAAGGTATTAGCTCTTTTTTTAAAAAAAAATGAAAACCTGCCCTGGCTGGTTTGACTCACTGTTGGAGCATCAGCCTGCAGTCCTGGTCAAGGGCACGTACTTCGGTTGTGGATTCAGTCCCTGGCCCCAGTTGGGGTCCTGTGGGAGGCAGCCAATCTACGAGTCTCTTTCACATTGACCTTTCTCTCTCCCTCTCTCTCCCTCCCTCCCACTCAATCTAAAAAAAAATAATGGAAAAATATCATCAGGTGAGGATAAAATGACAATAATAATAAAATAAGAATTTAAAAAATAAATAAAAAATTAAAAACTATTAAAATATATTGGCAGCCCATAAATGATAGCTATTGTAGTATACTAGTCATTATATATGTATTTGCAGATTAAATCCTGAGACCTTGGTATTCTACAAAGTTGATCTTTTCAACCTTTGGGGCCTATTGTGCGATACTGCCTCAGAGTATAGGGATGCTTTGATGAACAGTCCAAACAGGAAATGACCTTAGGTGAAGATGAGCTTGCCTCTTCAAAATGCTGCTGCTAAGACAACTAAACCCAGCAGTATTACCAATGTGCAAGTAGTTCTCAGAATTGGTCTTTAAAGGAACTTGTATTATGGCTACTTGTGTGCACTGAAAATAATTTGTAAACAATGTTTCAGAGTGGTCTTATTGTATTATTCAGTACTGTTGCACTTTGTTCCCAGCTGTCACCTGGAACCACTTCAGGTATGATTGGGGTGGGCCCAGAAGGTTTATGGCCATTCTTAAACATCCACAAACATGTTCTTTATTCTTCAGGACACGGACTACAAAAACGCATAAGACATGCTCTCTTCCCCTAAGGGGTTTAGAAGCTCTCCTCTCTTCATCTGGCTCATTCATTGGTCTCTTAAAGGGTCAGATTTTGGAGTCACTTCTAAGTCTTTCCTCATTGACATGTAGACTTCTGACCTCTCCTCAAGCATCCATTCTCCTGTGCTAGTTCTATCATGACACAGATCAATCTACTGTGATCTTTTTGTTGTTGTTAATTTGTCTCCTTTACTGATCTTTAGGACAAACACTGTCTTTTATCTCTATATCCCCACTGCCTAGTAACGGAACAGAGTACACTCCATAAGTCTTCCTAGAACTCTAGAATATGTGATGTAAAAGATCTAAAACACCATCTCCCCTATCAAATTGTGAAGCCAGGGACTATATTATATCTCTCTATATATGTATATTTTTAAATATGTTTTTGTTGGTTTTTTTAGAGAGAGAGAGAAATAGAAACATCGATGTGAGAGAAACATTGATCGGCTGCCTCCTGCACGCCCCCTACTGGGGATTGAGCCTGAAAACCAAGCATGTGCCCTGCCCAGGAATCTAACTGAGACCTCTCAGTCCCTGGAATGACACTCAATCCACTGAGCCACACCAGCCAGGCACTATATCTATATTTTTATATCCAGTGTCTAGCACAGGTCTGGTGCAGAGTTAACACTCAAAAATTCTTGAATGATATATGCTAAGTGCCAAATAGGTGGCAAATACATAATACAGTATGTGCTGCAGGAGTTCAGGCTGCCAGGCTTGGGCTGTGGAAGAACGCTGCACTGATGAACTGAGATCTGGGCTGAGCTTTGAAGGAAAGACAGAACTTAGCTAAGCAAAGAGGAGTATAGAGAGGTTATGGAATTTGGGACTTGACCCTAGAAGTATTAAGAGACATCGTGGTTTTTTTCATGTTGTTCCATGATGTGCATAGCAGTTTCTAAAAACTTTATCTGGCTGAGGTGTGTAGGATGATTCAGAGGGGAAGTAACTAGAAACAGATATTTGATAATGCTTCTAGAATATTTTCCTTGATCATCGAAGTCTTGTTTGGGTTCATGCTTTTATCGTTCTTTTTTTTAAGTTCATTGATTTTTAGACAGAGAAATATTGATTTGTTGTTCCACTTATTTATGCATTCATTGTTTGTGTCTTGTATGTGCCCTGATCGGAGACTGAACCTGCAACTTTGGTGTATTGGAACAACACTCTAGTTCCAATAGTTCTTCCGTAGTTCTTCCCCTGTGATAGTGCATGTAGACTTGGCTTTCACCCATCTAAACTAAGCTGCTTAAGGGAAGAACTGTGTCTTATACAGTATTAAGTCTTCAACACAAGGCTGTAAACATCTGATAAGTTAATGTTCATTTCTAGACCTCCCTGTGTCTCCAAGGCTATTTATTTATGTGAGTGTAGACTAAGCGGTCCACAACCTGCCCATCTATGTTCCAGACACACATTAGGACATGCCAGGAGCTTACCCTAATTTACAGATATTTAGACACTACCATTTTGTGTAAATTGTCTCACTAAACTGTTCTTTTATTCATTTTGCCTTTGTGATATCTGTAAGACCTGATTCTGGTACCTTCTTCACAAAGGGCAATTAACCAATTTTTTTTTTAAGGCAGAAATTCTTCCAAAATCATTGGATTTAGAAACGTTAACAAATTTTATAAAAAACTTACAGTTGCCAAATAACCATAAAAGTAGCAGCTAAGCTCTGGCCGATTTGGCTCAGCAGTTAGAGCGTCGGCCTGCAGTCCGCAGAGACCCGGATTCGGTTCCCGCTAAGGGCACGTACCTTGGTTGCAGTTTGTCCCCGGCCCTGGTTGGGTCGTGTGGGTGCAGCCACTCGATGTGTCCCTTTCACGTCGATGTTTCTCTCTCTCTCCCCCTCCCACTCTATCTGAACAAAATATTGAAGAGTATCCTCAGGTAAGGATAAAAAAAAAACAAAAAAAAAAAACGTAGCAGCTAAGCTCAGCCGGTATAGCTCAGTGGTTGAGCATCAACCCATGCACCAAGGGGTCACCGGTTCATTCCTAGTCAGGGTACATGCCCAGGTTGTGGGCCAAATCCCCAGTGTGGGACATGCAGGAGGCAGCCAGTCAGTATTCTCTCTTATCAGTGTTTCCATTTCTCTCTCCCTCTCCCTTCCTCTCTCTCTAAAATCAATAAAGAAAAGAAAAAAACTAAAAAAAAAAAGTAACAGCTAAGTTGCTTTCCATTGGAGTAAAAAAAAAAAAAAAGAAGAAATGTGGTGTACTTAAAGCTTCTTTGGCACTATTTTTCACTTGAATATCCTTCCATGAAAATGTGCAGATATTTATAAGTTCAGGTGTATATTTTTCTGCCATAGTGCTAAAATACTAAATTTTGTAAAAATATCTTAAAACAGCATTAAAGTAATAAATGTTTTTTGCTGGTATGGTTCTGATATACTTGGTATTTTAGACATCTTCAGAATTTGAACTTGGCACGTGATTGTTAAAGTATGTTTCCCTGATATAAAAGTTATTAAGTAGCCTTGGGAATTGTTTTGTGTTATAAATGCAGCTTGAGTCTACTGAAAGTATCCTGCAGGAAGCTACATCATCTATATCTTTGGTGACCCAGTTTGAGCAGGAAGTATCCAGCCTCCAGCGTATCATGCATGACATTCAAAATAGTGAAGAGATGCTCACACAAAAGATGCAAAGCCTCAGTGAGAAATTCCAAAATGTTACACATTTCTGGAAGAGAAGCCTGGAAGAAATGAATGCTAACACAGACATTTTCAAGTCAGAATCAAAGGATATACATTCTCAAGTTACGGTCCAAATTAACTCAGCTGAACAAGGAATAAAATTGCTCACTGAAAGGCTAAAAGATTTGGAAGACAGCACGCAAAGAAATATTAGAACAGTGAAAAGACAAGAAGAAGAGGATCTTATGCGAGTCGAGGAGCAGCTGGACTCTGATGCAAAAGCAGTTGAGAAGTTAGAAAAGGAACAGCATGCTCTCTTTGCCAGAGATGAAGACCTGACTAATAAGCTTTCCAACTACGAGCCCAAAGTTGAAGAATGCAAGACACATTTGCCAACCATTGAAAGTGCCGTTCGCTCTGTTCTCAGAGTCTCTCAGGACCTGATAGGGACGGAAAAGAAAATGGAAGACTTAACAGTTCAGATGTTTAATATGGAAGATGATATGCTGAAGGCAGTGTCTGAGATCATGGAGATGCAGAAAACTCTTGAAGGACTTCAGTACGATAATAGCATATTAAAGATGCAAAATGAACTGGATGTTCTGAAAGGAAAAGTTCAGGACTTTATAGTATATTCAAGCACAAGAGAAAAGGGAACTTTAAAAGAACATAATCTAGAAACTTAAGAAATTGATAGTGATTTAAATGCACTACATTTATTCTGGTGAACCATGTTATTATAGGCCAGTTGATTAGTTCCATGCTTTTGTGTTATTTTGATACATCTCACTTACCCTGCGTTATTGGAAAAGAAGTGAGATGTCCACACAAATGGATTATCCAGACATCAAAGTTTATCTCTTTAAGCAATAGTACTTCATTTTAACTCTTTGAAATAGAAATATTTCTAAAATATATATCTCTACTTTTTAAAAAGCAATATACTTAGTATTTTTAAGTGTTTTTTCTAATGGTCACTATTATGAATTTCACCTATTGGATCCAAATATATTAATGTCTGTAGGAGCTAATGAGGAGTGTTTACCTCCTCACTAAATGACCCCAGTTTGCTATTTTTCAAACCTTATGTCTACTTCTTATACCTGTTCTGTCACCTAGAAAGGTGACCCACTGACCTGATCTTACTGTCAGGGCAGTTGATGAAGTACCATTCTCTGCTAGGTCTTCATTTCCTTTGTAACTTACCACGGGCTAAGAATCCAGAGAACAGAGTTCATAGGAATTTTGTCGAAAGTAAAAATTAGCATGCCCCAGGGCAAGCCTGGGGTACTTTGCTCTGAATTAATATGCACTTTTTAAAAACTATGGATCCTTGGAAACATTTTTTTTACTTTTTGTGAAGGTTCTAAACTGTGCTTCAGATAACTTGTAAGAATTTTTAAATAAGAGTAAATACAGAGTGGGGCAAAAAGTTGTGAGTGAGAAATGTATTTTTGTAATATTTATTAATTATGGTATTCTTTTCCATATGAACAGCTTTAAACCTACTTTTGCCCCACCCTGTATTTTTTTAAGGCTTTTCCTATGAATTAAGTGTGTATGCTTTGAAGTATGGACTGTTGGAATATCTCTGGATAGCTGGGCTTTTATTTTTAAAAAGTTCTGACTGTGTTGCAGACTCCTGAGTTTGCTAGATACAGGATCTCTAGATAAATCATTCTACTTACAGTGAACATACACCAATAAGCCTGTGGCCTGTTTCAAAGAGGAAAAAGCAGCAAAATGAGAAATAATGACAGCCAGCCTGCCACCTCCCTAACTCTCCAGCCACACCTCATCCCACGCTTTCCCTCACTCCCTGTGCACACCTTTACACTAATTTTCTGCCTGCAATGCTTCCTCCTCTCGGGGTCTTTCTCACATGCTACCTTCCCTTAACCCTCCACCACCCCTCCCACGTAAAACTAAACTTCCCACTCCCTACCCCCCTAGCAAACCTTCTATGTAACTTATCCTGTTATCCCCAGTATAAGTTCTAGGAATGCATGGATTTATTTGTTTTGTTTACTGCTACATCCCCAAGGACCAGAAGGTGCGAGTTACCTCACAAGAGTAAACATTTGTAAGTGAATGAAAATGTCATTCACTTAGAGCGGTTCTCAACCTGTGGGTCGCAACATAACAGTAGCAAAATTACAGTTATGAAGTAGCAACGAAAATAATTTTATGGTTGGGGGTCAGCACAACCCAAGGAACTGTATTAAAGGGTCGTGGCATCAGGAAGGTTGAGAACCACTGACAGATGTTTGCTGGGCAGCTGGCCGGTGCCAAGTTAGTTACAGTCCAGCTAAGACACTGTTCTGGCCTTCAGTGCCCCAGATGGGAAGTGCACCACAAAGAAGAGCGTGCAACTCAGGGCTGCAAACTAAGGCCATGGCAGACAGTGCTCAGAGGACTGGCCTCGGCTTTGCCTTCAGGGGACCAGTTCAGCTTCCCAGCAGCACGCAGTTCTGCAGGTGCGATTCCTGAGAGGAGCTGCCGCTCGCCTTCCCCAAGCCCGAGAGGTTACCTACTCATCCAGGGGTGCAGCATCCAGCCTCGTCATGCAGGCACGGGATTTAATGAAACACGTTTAAAAGGCTCTGCTCTTCAGGCTCCACCCTCTCTCCTTTGCCACAGGGCCACACCCCCCATTGGCCCAGTACACACACAACAATTAAAATAAAAAAAGAGAAATGATGACAATTATGATAATTTAAAGCCCATTATTTTAAAGAGCCCCCAAACTAATTACCCAACCAAATTTGTTTCACATAGTGATTTTATTGTACTCAAAATTATACAAAAGAGTCACAAGGAATAAGACATGGACAAACTGAGGTGTGATAAGCAGAGATCTAGTCCTATTTTTCTAATAATGATCATCAGAAATGTGCCGGGTTGGGGGAGCACATGAGACTTTTACTGATAAACTGATGTATTAAGAGTGTCCAAACTTGGTGTTGAAAACAGTCAGCTGTAAGTGGAAGTACTTGTTCTTGCTTATTCTTGCCAAAAACCAACTTTAGTCACAGTTTTATAATGCAGTTTCAGTGGAATTAAGCACAAAGAACTTGAAAGCACTCAGTTACAAAAGGTAGTTGTGGTCAGGTAGTTTTACTATGTAAATGTGCACCTTTTTGGAAAAAATCCCAAGTAAGTTCTATGGTGGACAGCCATGGGCATAAAAATGGAAGAGAGCTACTATTAGAAGGCAATGCACTAATTTCTGGAATCTTAACATTATATTTCTCAAGTTCTGAATGTCTAAGTTCTTGTCTGTGTGCACTGACAAAAGTAAATTTGTTTGCTTTTATTTTTGTGCTAATAAAATAGATTATAAAGTTAGATGGAAACTTTGTTCTTTCAACCTCCATCCTGTCAGAGAGATGTGATCTCTTGTATTCTTCAATTCTTTTTCTTTTTTGTCCTATTATCATTTTTTGATGCATCATCATTATTATTATTAACTTGTATATATCATAGTAACAGTTACAGAAAAGAAATGGAACAAGGTGGCCACTGTGCTTTAGAGTCTATAGTGACAGTTACAAGGGAAACAAAAACTGCCCTTCTACAAGAATTCATGAGAAGACTAGTGTGTGTGTGTGTGTACACATGTATATATTCCTTTACCCAGAGCTTTCCCTACTTTAAAATGCCATTAGAGAGTTTCAGATGTACCTAATTTATTTTCCTCTTTTTTTTTTTTTTTTTTAATCCTTAACTGAGGATATGTTGATTGAGAGAGGAAGGGAGAGAAAAGGAGAAACATCGATGTGAGAAATATCGAAAGGTTGCCTCCCATACACTCCCCAATAGGGGATCAAACCCACAACCTAGGTATGTGCCTTGACCAGAAATCAAACCTGCAACCTTTCTGTGTACAGGATGACGCTTCAGCCAACTGAGCCACCCAGTAAGTGTTCCTCTATTTCTTACATTCATTTATTTAACACAAATACTTGAAATTTCAAAAGCTTCCCTGCTTATCAAATATTAAATGACATTTGTTGGTCTTTCCTTTAAGGAAGATTACCATATTCTAAGACACACTTTTCTGTCTTTGTATGTAATAATAAATTTTATATCAATTGATTAGAGAATACTAGATTCATTTTTTAAAAAACATTTAGCACAGCCCTGGCTGATGTGGCTCAGTTGGTTGAATGTCGTCCCAAGCACTAAGAGGTCACCAGTTCAATTCCTGGTCTGGGTTTCGGGTTTGATCCCCAGTAGGGGGTGTGCAAGAGGCAGCCAATCAATGTTTCTCCCTCTCCCTCACTCTCCCTTCTCTCTCTCTAAGAAAATCAATAAAAACATATATAAAAAAATAAAATAAAGCACTTGAACTTATTTTTAAAAACATTTAGCACATATCAATCACTTTACAAAACAAAATATATTTATGTTAATATTTCCTTAAATTTTGTTTAGAAGCTGTTGACTAGTTGTACTTTCATATTTTATAATAAAAAATGTTTATTTATTTGCCTGTATGGTTTTATAGAAAATTAAACTTTGTAAGATACAAAGTTAATGGCATTATTTTAAATCTCAACCTAACTGTAGACCTTTGAATGAATCTATAATCTTGATCAAAGCTTAACATGATGTTGTTATGATGCTGTAAGTTCACCAAATACACACACACACACACACACACACACACACACAAACTTGTTTCTCTACAGACTTACCTCATAATTTGTGCAGTTTGCCAAAGCTATGCAAATTCACCCAGCATCTGTATGTTTTGGTTCAGCTATGAATTATTAATTTAATACAAATCAGAATGCTCCATCCCAGCTTTACATAGTAGGGGAGAAGAGAACTAATATGTTGGAGCCCATTGTATGTCACACTACTTGGAGGTCTCCATCATTATCATCCTAACAGCTCTGTATTGAGTGTCAGCCAAACAGCTACTGTATTTCAGTCATGTGAGAGGCACTTTGCATGTATTTTTTTCTTTTTCAAATTGAATTTATTGAGGTGACATTGGTTAATAAAATTATATAGATTTCAGGGGTACAGTTCTAAAAATAAATCATCTGTATATTGTATTGTGTGTTCACCACCTCAGGTCAAGTCTCCTTCCATCACCATTAATCCCTGCTTTACCCTCTTCTACCTCCCACCCTCCCCCCGCCCCACACACACACACACACACTCACTTATCCCTCTGATAATTACCATTCTGTTCTCTGTGTTTATGAGTTTTCTGGGTGGTTTTTTTTCTTAGTTCCTTCACCTGTTTCACCCAGCCCCCAAACCCCCTCCTTTCTGACAGCTGTCAGTCTGTTCTCTGTATCTATAAGTCTGTTTCTGTTTTGTTTGTTAGTTTATTTTTTTCATTAGAATTTTCACCACAGCCTTGCTAACTATGAGACCCATGTTACAAATAAGGAAATTGAGACTCAGCACGATTAGGAATCTTGCAATCAAGCTGCTGGGTCTGTCCACCTGCAGAGATCACTGATCTCACACGATTCAATGCAACCTACTGCTGTTCAATCAGGGGAGGAAAAAGTCACAAGGAATCTGTCAGTAGAACTACCTTGAGGATTCAAAAACCTGTAATTCAGCCCAATTTGGTGGCAGTCAAATGACGACTACCATGTCAGCACTAAATTAGACTAAGTCACCCAAAGGTTGTAACTATGACTTAAAATTGTTTAGGCCGCCCTGGCCGGTTTGGCTCAGTGGTTGGAGCATCAGCCTGCGGACCAGAGCCCCGGGTTCGGTTCCCACTAGGGGCATGTACCAAAAACAAAAATTGCTTGGGCCTTGGGCATAAGAAGGAATTCATCAATGTAGGGAAGAGTGGGACAGCATCGGTGGGAAAAAAACCTTAGATGGGAATCTTCTGACCTAGGCTTTGCCACTAACTGTGTGTTCTTGGGCACTTGATTTTGAGGCTGTTTTTAATTTATAAAATGAGCCCTGGCCTGTTTGGCTCAGTGGTTAGAGTGTTGGCCTGCTGTCCAGAGAGACCCGGGTACGGTTCCCGCTAAGGGCACGTACCTCGGTTGCAGTTTGTCCCCGGCCCTGGTTGGGTTGTGCGGGTGGCAACCACTGGATATGTCCCTTTCACATCGATGTTTCTCTCTTTCTCTCTCTCTCTCTCTCCCTCCCACTCTATCTGAACAAAAAATGGAAAAATCTCCTCAGAATAGGATAAAAAAAAAGTTAATTTGTAAAATGAGAGAATTGTACCAAATAATGTAAGATTCCTTCCAGCTTAAAGTGGTTTTAAATTTTAGAGATCAATACAATTTCCAGCTGTATTGTGCAATTTAGTACAGTTCAAAGATCCTTCAATAAAGTTTTTGGAAAGCCAGTTGGACCCAGATATCATTCCCTAGAACTGTGTTGC